GGGCCGCCGCGGGGAAGGGCCGGCTTCCCCAGAGGTGGGGTCACCGCGCGCCCGCGCCGGCCCGAACCTTGACTCCGAGACAGGCCGCGGGCGACAGCCGCAGTCTGCACTTTACACCCCGTACCCTGCAGAGCGAGGCAACTTAAGCAGGGCGATAACGTCGTGGTTGTAACATTTTTTTTCACGTTATTATTATTATTATTTCTATTCCAAGTGTGTGGGACGAGGGGAGAGGAAAGTTCAGCGAGACGTGCATCCTTCCCTTCCCCTCCCTCTCCCCGGGCCCGCGTCTGTTTTCACTGCGGGCTCTCTCCACCTCGCTTCCCTCCCAGAGCGCAGACCCGCGCACGTATCCCGGACACGCTTCCCTCTGTCACTCCAATGCCCTTCTAAGAAGACATGTGACCCCGGAGCCGCTTGGCGACGCGCTTTTCCCGGACTCTGGAGCCATAACTTACATCTAGTTTGCCAATTCACATGATGCTGGGGGCAGCGGAGGAGCCCAGCTCCCGGGCACGGCGCGGGTACCTTAGGAAGCTGTCGGGCTCCTGGCAGGCAGCTTTCGTGATCATCCGAGCGGATAATTCTCTGCCGTCGCCTTTTGAGTACATTTTTCCCCCTGAGGCGTGCATTATGGTTTTCTAAATATATATCTACACCCCACCGCATTATTTGCTGTGCTCTGGAGTGGTGAGATCTCCATGTGGCCTCCCCCCTTCCTCCTGCCCCCAGAGGAATTTCACTGGCAGATCGCTGAGGACAGGGCAGTTTCTGTGTGAGGGACGGCAAGTACAGTAAGGGTCTATTCTTCAGCATCTAGAAAATGTTAGAACCCAACTCTCCTGGGTTTTAGACCCCAGGAAGGCAGTGAGGCTCGGGTAACATCAGTATACACTGTTATATACATAAACTTATATTAAAAATGGGGCCCGTGTAAAATTTATTGAATGGGGCCATTAAGTTTCAGAGGAGGAAGAATGTAGTCCTATTTGTTTTTGTGCTAACTGAAGAAATAAGCAACAGCACACTAAGTACTTCTTCGTGAACTTATGCCAGAATATGTACATTTTATGCCAACCTTTTTTAAAAAGCCTAACTGGACTAGACAGAGATGAAGAATTCCACAGAAAAATGAAGAATAATTACATTATTTTAAGTCACCGTAATAATGGAATTTTAAGTCAATAGACTGAATTTTTATGAGCAATCTAATGGAACAGAGGAGAAAAGCAGAGATTTTTTTCAAACTCCCGACATTTTTATTTACTCCAGATTTGTTTATTTGGATTTTTTTTTAAGTTTTTGACTATGGGTTGCTAATTAATGAGTCATAAAATTGATGTATTGAGTCAAAGATAACTTGTTTTTTCTCTTTTTAGAGACTGAGTCTTGCTCTGTCACTCAGCCAAGAGTACAGTGGTGTGATCATAGCTCATTGCAACCTTGAACTCCTGGACTCAAGTGATCCTCTGGCCTCTGACTCTCCGATAGCTAGGATAAAGGTAGCATTTAAAAAACGATACAGGATAGAATAAAAATTACAGAGCGTAACAAACATGCTAAGAGTAAATATGTGTTTTTATATATCTTTTGCTTTGTTTTTGGTTAAATATGGGGGGGGCAGTGGGTCCACCACATAATGTATGCTCTCTTGCTGTTCATTGAGGTTAAAGCTCCAAAGTCACTGATGGCATACGGGCTGCTGCCTTCAGTCACCCAGCTAGTCAGTTTGAGCGGGAGCTTAGGTTCCCTGAGGACAGTCCTGTACTCTGCCCACTCCGTCAACGCTACCAAGTTCAACAAAGACAAGAAGGAAGTAGGGGGAGGAAAGTGATCACTTTTGATCCTTTTATCCAGTCTTTCAATAAATGTGCTTTCAGGATCAGCACTAAAAACTAGGAGTTCAATGGGGAACCCAAATTAACTTGTGCTTTCCACCAACCTACAGCATACAAACGGGTGGGAGAAAAGGGCATTAAACAAATAAACACGTCCAGCGTATACTCTGTATGTGATAAATGCTATGAAAGAGAATATGAGGAAAACACTTGGAATCATAATTTAGATGTGGGACACTGCAATTAATTATTAACCCAATTTAAAGTATCTTAAATGATAAGGAAATTTATTGTTTTATATAGCAAAAAGTCCCAAGGTCAGGAGGCTCTGACAGGTGAATTCAGCAGTACAGCGGTGTCAGAGAAGGCCAGAACTTGTTTCCGTTATTCTTTCACCATCCCCCGCATGCCAGCTTTGTTCCCAAGACTGCCTCTCCCAGGGTCCCAGGATGGCTGGATCAGCTCCAGGCGTTAGGGACAATCCCAGCAGTGCCCAAAGATAGCAAAGGGTGTGTCTTTTCAAGGGTGGAGAAATTCTTCTCTGACACTGCCAGGAGACTCTCATTTGCTGTTTGTCAAAACTGAGTCATGCACCCCTCCCAAAATGCTGGAAGGGGAGAGTGGAGGAGGGGATTGCCGTGACTGACTTAGGCTCATCAGAATTTCCTCCCAGACTTTTCAGGGTTGCATTCTTTGAAGACGGGATACTTGAACAAAAAGGAAAAGGTGACAACTTCTCTGAATAGACGGTACTTAAACCTAAGGTGAGTGAGCATCAGAGAGGGAGTAGAAAGCACCTTCCACCAAAGGAATCCTGTGTGTGATGTCCAACCCTGCAAGGCTTGCCTGCTATTTCCTGTTTACTCCATAGGCCTGAGGAAGTAGGCTCAAAGTGTTAAATAAATTGATCATGAACTTGATCAACAAATACCTTGAGGGGCCAATCTATGTAATTCCAATACCCTAAATCTTGACCTCTTCTGCTTCTGCAAGGACACTGAGAAGCCAAAAATCCACTGGACTGTGTCTTCCCTTGGCTGAGAAACACAACCCCCCACCCCCTCAAGCTCCTTCTCCGATGTTTCTCCAAGCTCCTAGCAGTGCGGGACACGGGTTCCTGAATAAACCTTCTCCCAGTGGCCTGTTCTCTGCTAAGGACTGGGGTTCTCGTGACATCAAATTGTAGAGGCAGCCTGGCAGGGAGGATGAGAGACCTGTCTTCTCCTTCCACACACACGCAATCCCCAAACGGCCTTAGTGTCTTGCAGAAATCTCTCAGTTTTGCCTACTTCCCTTTCTCTCAGGGGCTGAGCTGGGAACAGATTCCAGTAATTCTTAATATGTTGAATTCAGACTCCCAAGACCCTGGATGACTAAATTCAGGTTCTAGATCACCCAACTTAAATAATATTTGGGGGGAATAAATTTCCACACGAGAAACTGTATAATTGCCCTTGTCTGGGGACATCCCATCAGATCAGCCTCGTGCTTATAACTCTTGAACTCCAGCTTGAGGCCCTTGGAGAGCAAGCTGAGCTACCTGCTACGTATTAGCAGAGTGGACCTGGGCACATGAGAAGTACCAAACCACTGTGCTGTGGTTCACACTCCACGTTCTCACCATCTCTACGGTTCTCTTCCTTCCCTCCTTTATTCTTTCCTTTGGCTTCAGGCTCACTTATCTTACCTCCTCACCCCATGAGCAGACACTTCAGCTGAAGACCAGAGCATCAGGTCACTGTGCCCTTCTTTCTGATTGGTTTTGCCAAACGATACCCAAGAAAAATACCATTTGCCTTCAATACTTCAGCTGTCCCGGTTCCAGCATCACTCAATATGGTTATGAAACTGGGCCAACTGTTTCCAAAACAGTTTTCATCTTCTCTAACCTCCCTGCATCCCAGAGGCCTTCATTCCCCTCAATGTCACTGATGTCTTTCACAGTGTCACTGACTGTGCAGGATAGCAGTTCTCTCCCCTGTGATCCCACAGCAACACTCTGCTCCAAGTTACAAAACCTCCTTAATGCATCTGTCTCCCTTATTAGACTTCAGAGCAGGGACTTGATTGCATTAATGCTTGCATCTGTGGAACACATATAGCTCAGGTCTTTTCATTATTTAAAAACCATTTTTTAACATTTGCACTATTTGATCTACTCTCTCTATTTTCTTTAAGAAAAAAAAAAAATGTTTACCAAGATACTAGAGACTTGAAAGAGATCCCTGCAATAGTAGCCCCATGTTCTCTGTGGGAGCTCGTTACCAGTGCCATACAATCCTCCAGGCCCTGCACTGAAGGCTTCTCCCTGGCGGTCTCTGTGTGGGAAGGAGAGTGAATGCCATAACTCCCACCGCATTCTGGCTGTTTCTTAGCCCCTCCAGGCAGCAGCCAGAGCCTTCAAGGGCCTCCATTTTTGGATTGACCAATCTCTTCCCATACTCTCTCTGAATGTCCTCCCTCCACCTGGCCCCTCCCTCTCCCTCCAGCCCTCTCTGTCTTTCTCATAGGGTTAGTCGGTACTTTAAGGTGTTTCCCTTTTCTGCAGTGCCCCCCAGCTCTGCACTTTGTCTCGGCCCTTCTGTGGTAGTCATCACTTTCTATGTGTGTTGTAGCTCCCTATCCACCTTATCTCCCCCGCAGGACGCCCACACCCAGAAGGCGCGGCTCAGGTCTGATAACCCTTGCTGTATCTCTCCAAGCATCACAGCAGGGCCAATCCCAGAGTCAATAGAGAGCCAAGACCTATGAAGAAGAATTATCCTTATGTTTCTGAAATTCCACAGAAAGAACATGGAGCATGTTTTTGTTTTCCTTCTGGAATAAATGACAATG